GTTAAAATGCAGCCTTGGTATCTGTGCCCACTGTAGCTTGCCCTGCCTGTATATTTTATACTGGTATCATTTAGTTTAACATAAAAAGTGGTTGGTTATTTGAAGAAATTTTTCACAGTTCGTATCTGACAGTCAAGTGTCTTCATCTTTTTTTTTCGATAAGTATTTAGTAGGCAGAACTGCCTGTTACTATCTGTCAGTTTTACAATATTGTTGCACCCAGCTGCAGTAAGGCATCACAAGGTATTTACTTAGAGCTTGTATCAAGCCATCTCTGGCTTGAGATGTCCTTTTCAGTTTGCATCTTCTGGACATCTTGCAGCCTCTGATTTTTTTGCAATTAGCTTTTCCACCTCTTTTAAGTGTTGTCCTCCTTAAACACCACTTGTGTGAAGTAAATACATATTTTGTTTGATGTACTGCCAAATATTCCTGTAACTGAGACCGGCAGGAGAGTGGAAAGATTGCATACTTGACTTACAGATACATAGTGCAGGTGTAGCTTCCCCTAATTGCTTTTCTTTCCCCACCACTTTTGATTCATGTACTGTGATATGATTGTATCTATAGTAGAAAAGGAGCAGGAGTAGAAGGTTTTTATTTGAAGTAGAAAGGGAAGAGAACTGGAGAACATTTTGGCCCTACCCTGCACTCAGTAACTAGAGTGGTCTGAGGGCAAGTATGGACTGAACAGAAGTTAATGTCAAAAGTGTCTGAATTCAGTGTCCCTCAGCCTCCAGAGTGGGATGACCACTGGGTAAGAAATCTCAGACAAGCTACTAAATTGCAAGTGGTCTCTTGATAGTGGCATAGTAATGCTTACTTTTAAAAGTGATAACTTCTTCACAGTGAAGTCAGCAGTTTTCTCCAGCACTGTCTTTTTTCATTCTTATTAGAAAGAATAAAACTCTTTTTAATTATAAACCCAGCTAAAAGTCCCATGAGAGTCTACTAAAGCTATTGTGATTACTGTGTTTTTTTTTCCTGTTTTGCAGAAATAAAGGAGGAAAACATGCCATCTTCTATCCAACACTGAAGGTAGGTGTGACTTTTTCAGGTCAGAGGGCAGTAAGAGGAAAAGGGTGTTTACTGGACTTGCATTATTGAGACGATTTGGAAAATGCTTAAGTGGGCTTAGACTTCTGTGAAAGAAATTCACCCTGATGTAGTTGTTATGATTCAAGGTTTCATTTTCCAGTACAAGATATTTTTTTTCTGTCTAATGCATAATGGGTTTTGGAGAATCTTTGAAGATTTGCCGTGTCTGAGATAAGACACACCAAGGCAGACAGTGTTCTGAGAGGATCTGTTTGAGTGCACAGGTCATGTGCTAACAGGTGCTGGTTTCACCTTCCTCTGTAATGGAGTCCTGTTTCTCACTGTTGCCCTTCATCAGCCTATTATCTTCCATTCTTTTTCTCTGGAACATATTTAGTATTTTGAAAACTTTGCCCTTACTGAAGTCTTTTGGCTGGACATGCAATTTCTGTGCACACAGTAGTCTGCAATGTATGAGAATACATGATACAATGGGTACTTGCCTTAATTCCCAGGAAGCTATTTTTAGGTTTTCTCAAATTAAGCTAAAGGCAGCATCTTAAGCCTCTTCTGGCTTTTAATATTGGAAGAGAATTGCTTCTTTAGTGACAATATATCATATTTGGAGAGAACAGAGATATTTTGTATGGTTAAACTAGTGTGAAATTATCTAAAGCTCCATTTTTCTGAATGGGAATATTGTCTTATGCTCTGTTAATACAACTATATTTCCCTTCATTAATCTAATACAGGTGGAAATACTACAATCTATGAGATACTAATCACCGTGTCTAACTATGTGCTTCCTAGAATCTGTCTTGGAGTGACAGAAAGTTTCATTGCCAATCTACCAGAGAAAAGACAAATTGTGCTGCATGTTGTCATGCTACATCCTCTCTGGTCTTATGGAAGGATTTAATCCTGCTAGAGTCAGTCCTAGCCTGGTTAAGGAACGTTTATTCCTGTAGATTTCTTTCTTTACACCTTCTTATATTAATAACATATTCAGTTGAAGTGTTTGGTGAATTTACAGAAGCAGGTTTTCTTTCAAATTTCAACAAGGCTGTAATGAAATACTTTGAGACTTGTATGCTGAGGCAGATCAAATAGTCACATAATGGCGATCAGGACGATCAGTGGAACACTGCATGTTGGTTTATTTCTCCTCTCACAGTTGTGTTTATTCCTCTTTTTAATGTTATAGTCACTGGTAGGTTGATCCACTCAAAATTGACTTGTTCATAATCAGATAAAAGCGAGCATGAAGTCTGGCCCCAGCAGATCTATTAATGGTGGCTCAACACTTTGTTCTGTTTCCTATGGAAATGAGTTTTTAAAACATCCCTGTGGTATGTGCAGTTCAAGCAATGCTGCACTTCAAAGTCAGAAAACCTGAAAATGAAAGACTCAAAAGGAATTATTTTTATTTTCTGAACTGAAAGAAGTTCAGAATATGAATTGTAACATTAGCTCCCTTGTAAACCAATGGCTAAACTAATTCTGAATCAATAGCAGTAGCACAGATAGGATACATTTTAATATTAATCTTCCAGAATCATTCTAAAATAGAATTCTGATAATGAAAATTATGACTCTGTCTTGGGAGAAGACAAGGGTATGCACAAGATCTTGATGGTTGTTCTAATTGTCTTCAGTGATAAAGTTTTATTTTACCCTTGGGAAATTTCTGGGAAGAGTTAGGATTTCTGTAAGTTGTGAAGTGATAGCCTAAATGAGAATAGTCCTTTGCATAGTTCATAAATCAGATTTATTTCCATGGCATTTTGTCTATTTAGCTGGTTATGGTGTATTAGGTCATTGAATTAGCTGGTGCAATTAACTGTCTCTTACTAAATGATTGCTTTCTAACCAGAGAATACTTGATATACAGGACTTCAAGTTTTTCAGTATCTAGTTCACAGATGGTTATTTTTAAAGTCTGAAAATGGTATGAAGAGATGGCAGCATGGAATGTCTGATGTCATGGACTAAAAGCTAATTGCTTTATGTGTCTTTGTCTTAGTCCATCCAGTTGCGCTTAGAGCTTGCAAAAGAATTGGGCACTGGAATATCCATCTGGGAACTGGGACAAGGCCTGGATTATTTTTATGACCTTCTTTAAAGTAAGAGATGATCTCGGAGAGACTTTGTTTGCTTCGCTGAGACTCCAACCTTCAATTAATTTGGGTATACCAGAGAGGTGATTTTTAAAGTATGTTTTGTAATTTATATAATACCTGTATTAAAAATTATTGCATTTTTTTTCCAATAAAGAAGCTTTTCTGATTTGCCACGTAGATGTGATTGTTGGTTTCTGATAACATTCAGAAAAAAGAAAAGAAAAGCCACAGAAATTTATTATAATGCTCCTGAATTCACAATCATTGAAAACAGACCTACACAACTGGGATGGCACTGGAATTGAAATTGTTTTCTACAAGAAATAAAATGGACAAGTTCTTATCATCTGATCGAAGTTTAAGATGGAGACCTCTCAAACTACTGTTGCTAATAATAAAAGTATGTAAACAGATATTTACAGCAAATCTAATATCTGTTGGACTCTCTGCAGCTTGCTGTCTTCTGATAAGGTAAATCAACATAAGAGGGAGGGGGGTGGCACAGGAGTAATTAGATATCTTTCCCTCAGGCTGATTGAGGATTAAATACTGACAAGCCGTGTTGTTGGCTCTGGTTGTTTCCTTCATTTTGCTAAATTCTTCAAGTAGTTCAAAATCGGAGTAATTTTGATTCATGTGTTGTTTCTAAACCTTCTTTTTTTTTTTTTTTTTTTTTTTTTTTCATACAAGAGAGGATGCTTTGTGATTTTTCTCTTCTACTTAACTTGCTTAGTTTCTTAGTTTACAGTATTTAGCACCAGTGCATGATGCAGCATTAGTGGTTAGTTGGTGGGAACTGTAGTGTTTAGCACCAAAAGCTGCAATGGAACTGAGAAGCATGCATGTAATGATGGATTACACGGATAGCCCCAAGAGAGCCCCAGAGCAGCTCTGACAATTCCTTGACATAAGTAGGTGTTGCCAATGTAATCACCATCTTTCTGAATAAAGCTGTCATTCTTTAACTATACACATTGGTACTTTTACCTCCATAAAACAGATTTATTTATTTTTATTAACCAAAAAGCTGTAACAATCCATTAGTTTAAAAACAAAGCCAGAATTTCCCTCCTGAAATTGTCCTGTTTTTTTGGATTATGTGTTTTGTGTTTGTAGAAATACACAGGCTTCAAGGTAGTTTCTTGTAAGGAACCAAGGGGAGGTGCTGGGAATTTGATGAGGGTGTTGTTGGTCACCAGCAGAGATCCAGGCAATAGCTCTGTACTCCCACTGGTGTTCTTCTTGCCACTTACAGTTGTCACAAAGATAACTGCACTCCTCTCTTTGCATCCACCCTTCCCAGTAATTAATCTCAGCGGGGGATTTATCTGCCCCTGCTGGTTTCAGCAGAATAAATTCCACTGTAATCCACCATTGATTAAAGAACTATTGATCTTCACCTCTCTGATTTAGTTCTGGCATCTCCGAGTTCTCACATTGCAGTATCCAGCGGGGTTTACTAATCAGGCTTCTTTCTTCCATACCATTAGTACTAAGATAATTTGCTACGTGAATCCTCATGTTCAATTAACTTGAACTTTCTAGTTCGTTCAAAAGCAATTTGAAGTCACTCTGGCAATAGTATCTAGAATAGCACAAGAATTAAATTCTGTTATGCTGTTTTTCTACTTTCAGTGACACTACAGAACCACAGTATCTCATAAAAACAACAAAAAAAAGATCAGTTAAAAATGGAGGGGATTGTGATCTGAAATGGCATCCATTACCAGTACTATCTGGGAGGTAGTGCTTTCAAACATGGAGGGGTTGGGGAAGAAGAAAATACTTCATTTTAGTTGCTTGTTTCCTCTCTAGAAAGGATATTTGTAATTTGTCATGTTTTTCATCATCAGTTTTTTATTCCATGGTGATTTGCTGTGAAGTTCAACTGTTCTGTTTGTCTTTGAGTGCAGCTGTTAGGAAGAAGAGTCTTTTCCATCCTTAGAGTAGAATGAATACCTCTATGTGTCAAAAAGATCAAACTAACCCTTGCTGTATCATGAAAAATAAATACCAGATGAGAAGTACATTGCAAGTTTGAGCAATCCGTGGTATATAGGTGCTCAAGGCCAAAGATGTTACCTTTTGTCTCTAAAGGGCAAAATAGATCTGGTGCTTTAAAAATAGTAGTTCAAAAGAAGGAAGGCATAATTGTTCAGTGCGAAGTTTTCAAAAAATATAGTGAGTAGCAGAAGGTGTTTGAGCTCCAGAATGAATGAAAACTGGCTTCTAATGGATTTGTCTTATGTTTGCTTAATTTTTCAATGCGTGGCAGTGTCAGATTGTCTTTTGTCAGATATCACAGAATGCAAGAAGCCGGGTGCCATCAGTGATCCACGATGAAGGCAGGCTTCTCTTGAGAGTTGCACCTGACTGCACGTTTGAAAAGACGACACAAGAGAGATGCTGGATATGTGAGTAGGTTCGTCAGTTTTTATGACTTTCCTCTGACAAGGGGACAAGCTGAGCAAAGGACAGACGATGGGTGGGAGTGCTGTTGTGGCACTGCTGTAAGAACCAAGGTACTGGCCAGGCAAGTTGCTTTTATTCCCTTGTTTCAAAAAGAACAGAAAGCACTGCTTTATGGTGCATTGAGGCATTTTCTGTAAAGCTTAAAAAAAAAAAAAAAAGAGAGAGAGAGAGACATTTCACTCTTCCTTAGAAGCAAGTACTCCTTAAATGAAGTACTTTCAGGGGCAAAGATGTTGGGCTTAGAGAATCAAGGGTATGACTGGGGAGAAATATCTGGTGTTCCTATTAAAGCAGTGTACATAAAGCATAAATACATCTGGTATAGCAGGTAGTAAAATGGAAGTGTGTTTATTTCAACAGAATACTCCATCACTAAGTAAGAAAGAAAAGCTGTGCTCTATCACCTCATTCTGTTGTAGGAACACATTTCCATATATTACAGTAAGATCTCAGAGCTTTCTTACATCCAATCCTTGTGTTTCCCCGTGTTTTACTTTTTTAGGCTAGACTTATACAGAAATAAGGTAAATTCATTTTTCTGCACGATTTTGATTGCATGCATTGAGAAAAAGAAATAGCTGATTGTGTTGCAGCTGGCCTTCACTGTGCATATTTTTATTGTTAATTATCATCATTTTAATAGGATTTTTTTTCCCATATCTGTGTACAACTAAGTATCTTACTGAGATAGAAAAGAGATTATCTGCTTGCAGGATCTCATTGACCATGCTTCTGGAATAACAGCATCGCACATTATCTCAGGAAATGTCTCTTGTGGTAAGTGTGTCTGTCTTGAGAACGAGAGCCACTATGGAATCTCTGTGAGCAAAAATTGTTTTAACAGAGAATTGTGGAAAATAAATTGTATAGATTGTGTCACAGTGAGATGCTACTTCTTCAAGTAAAATTGCACCAGTATTTGATTTATAATTTCTTTTTGTTGCCATTCGTAGGTCTCAAACTTCAGAATTACTTGTAGCTTCTAGGTGAGAACAGTGGGAGTGAGAGAAAGAGGCAAGATAGAGTGAAGTATGACAACAGGAGAACAGCTTCTTGAACCACTCCTTAGTTATAAAGAATTGTTGATGGAGTTGTAACAATTTAACATTGCTTATGGGCTTGAGAAAAAAAAAAAAACAATAGTAGTGATTATTTTGGGGACTGTGGGGTTGTTCTGTGCATACTTCTCTGTGGAGACTATAAAGTTAATGAAAATCCATAGGAACTGTAATTACAGTCTCTCCTGAATTTGGGGTATGTCTTTTATAGTTCATTGTTTTGATTAATACCCAGTGCACCTATTTAACTTCAGTTAAATGAATGGCAGCACAAAGCACATGGGTTCTACTTCTGCAGCTTGAGGAGGTGCAGAATGTAGCTATTCTACTTTTTCGTGAAATCTCATTCACCAGTGATATCTTTTTTATGTAGTAAGTGCAAATTAAGTAAGCCTGAATTGGTGTTTTGTAGTCTACCAGGGAATCATTTTGATACTCTGTGTTGGGGGAATATAGATCTTCTCTTTAGGAAAAAAAATAAAATCTTTAATATGGAAAATAACTAGAATAGAATTTGATTAGCACTCTTCATTCAAAACATTGCTAAAATAAATAAGATCACTTATAAGTGTTAGCACTTGAGATTAAAAGCTGAAGATGTGCCTGTAATGTATTACATTGGAATGAGAATATTAGTACGAACTGTAATTTTTCAAAACAAAAAACAAAACACACATATGAATGGAATCTAAGGCTCAGAATTACAAACAATCAGTCATTTTACATTCTCCACATCAACTGCTGAGAGGAGAGCAAAGGGCTATGAGTGAATTGCCTTCATGGGGCACATAGGTGATGATATTTTGATCACATTTTGATCCACCCATTGTTTGGAGTGTGGAGTTTAAATAAGGTAAAATTTAGCAATTTTCCAGAGTGGAAAGGCAAAACATAAAATAAGCTAAAAGCTGCCCCCCTTTCTATGAACTCTGTGACTACCCAAGTGGGAACAGAACCAGATGTACATGTGTGTTTTGAAGATGGTTAATGAAGCTCATGTGAAGGTGATCAGTGTAGATAAGCAGCACATTGACTTTCTAGAGACTTCCTAACCATACTAATTTCATTTACCTGAACCTACTAAGCACAACAGTGGTTAAAAAAATGCACTCTCCAGTGCTAGACTGTATGCTTTGTGATTTTGAGGTAAGTGACTTGATATAAACCTTATAGGATGATTGCATTTTCCTGCACACGCAGGCACAGTACGTTGGAGCAGGGCTGTCTAATGGTCCAGCTCTCTCAGCTCTTCTGTGGTGACCCTGCTATATGCATAATTAATTGCAACTGGGGTTGCTTGGGTGCTACACCTCACCTTTCTCAAAGGTCAGTGTGCAGGGTGTTGAAGCCAGAAGGTAGTGGTGTGCTTCACCAGTTTCCTTCCATATGTGAACCTGCTACTTGGTTACTGCTGCTCATCCTGCTCAAAAAGGTAAGGCTGAGTGTGTTGTTTTCTTTTGTTTAATCCCCCCCAAAAAACAATCCAACATCTAAGGACATCACTAATTTTTGCTAAATGTTAGTTTTCTCTTCTATTCCCTAGAATCTAATCTGTATTTAGAAATGGTCTGTAGGCCTTTTGATATGTTTCAGGCAGTTTTCCCTTCATGTGCCAGAGCCTTTGGTGTGTGCTGTAATTGCTTGCAGCTATTGAGAATGGGAACGTGATTGTAAACAGCCACTGGGCAGTCTCTGCTTAACTTGCTATGTCTGTTTTCACCCAGTCTTCTAATATTTCTCCTCTGAGTTTTAGATGAACCCTTGTGGGAGAGAAAAGTTAAGTTTCTACTGGTTATTTGCCTGTTGCCATTCTTGTAACCTTTTGTTTCCCTTTGCTGGTTTTGGAACCTGAGGAAAAAAAAAAGGGGGCTGTGAGTGGATACATTTGTGTACCTTGAGCAGATGAAGGCCCAGCAGTAACAACATCTGCACTCTTGTGCTGTGAAAGTTTGGTAAAAGGTGCCTGAGAGTGTTGTATGTCTGCAATGAGAGGGGAGGAGAGGGAACTTAAGCCTTTTTATTTGTCACAGTGGCTCCCTAGTCTCTGCAGTTACTACAGTGATACAGAGTGGAGGGTGGCAAAGCTCCACTTTGCTCAGAACAGCTGGGCTGATTTCCCTTTCACACGTACTTGCTGTTTCAGTTCCTGTGAAAAACAAGCAGTTTGTGTAAAACAAGCAGTTGTGTTGGTTTTACTCTGCTATTTCATATCATGGTGTGAAAAAACTGTGCTAATAATCATTTTATTTTTGCTCATTAAAACAACTGATAACTTCAGCTACTTGCCCAAGTCCCTTTGTTTTGCACTTCTGGTGTGAACCAGGTGGAGGTGTTTGGAGTAATTGATGCAGGCAAGTTCTGCAAATCCAAGGAGAGAAATAGTTTTTGTCTCAAGTCCTTATGGCAAGCACCCCTCTATGCAAACATACTGGCTCTTGTGCTGCAACAGTAGATGCAGTTAACCAGTAATACTGTTTTTTTGGGAGTCCATTTAGCTTGCTGGTATCATCATTTTGAATTAACATTAGAAAGTGTTTTATTCAATGATGCCTTCAGAATTACAGCCACTAAATGGTTGTCTGCTGTATCAGGTCTTTGCATGCTGCTTATGTTTTTTAACCCAGAACTTTCTATTAAAATTAAATTGCTTTTGCTGTTAGCTTGGAATTGTTTAGATGGACTTTCTGTGTCAAACAGTGTGCCAGGATTTTAAATTCCATCTAATTCCTTCTCACTTCATTCATATCAACCTTGAAATTGCTGTTGATGTGAGGATGCATTTGCACAGAGGAAAATGGCTGAGCTCATGTCTTGAAAGCCCACTTTAGGAGTATATTGACTATTTTAAAGCATGGAGGGCTAAACTATACCTTTAGTATTTGTTTTAAAACTTGGAAATACTGAGCCTGATAAAAAGCGAAATCCATAGTAAGGTTTTAAAAGTTCTTGTTTTTCCTATGCCAGATTTATCTGTTCTTTTGAGGTAAGATATAAAATTATATAAAGAGATAAGAGATAAAATTATGTAAATAAAGTGACAGGGAGAATATCTTCCCCAGGAGAGTGAGTACTTGCCTGTTTGCTCGGATACAGCGCTTAAACAGTTGGCTTGAGCAAGGTCAGAGTTTCATGTCAGACTTCATCTCCTCTTGGCAGTAGCTACTGAGCTTTTCTCTGCCTGCATCTCTTAAGGTGGTTGATGGGTCAGGAAAGGGAAACAGCACTCACAAAGGTTTGAGGAAAATGGGAGAGAGGAACTGGAGGGAAGCAGCTGCTCTCAGAAGAGATGTTTTCTCCTTTTCTAACTATTGTAGGAGCATCAAATAGCTACGCTTGGCAAAAAATAAAATAAAATTAAAAAGCCAAGCATCTGCATTCCCAAGATCTTCCCTGTGCCTTGTCTTTCTTGAAGCCAAGGAATATGAAGTATTTTGGCAGAGTCAATGCTGTACCCTTGGCCAATATATTTGTAAAAAACTAAGTGTACTGTTCTGACGGTTGCACACAGTGTTTTTTTGGCTGAGAATTAAGTTACTGAATGAATTTGTGGATCGCAACATGACTATTGTAAATACTTACTGCCTTCCCAGGTGTGCATATTGGTGTATAATTTGAATTTCAAGCATACGCAGAATTAAACTCATTTATCAAGTATATGAGAAGCCGCCTCACTCTCTCCCCCTTTCTCTCTCTCTCTCTGGCAAGGTATTCAGGAACCCTCAGTTGTTAGGGATAATAACTGTATTGAAAAAACAGGTAGGCTTCCCCGAATAGAAGAGAGGCAGGAGATGCACTACCGGCTGGAAGAGGATGGCATTCCAGAGAGCGTGCAGCTTTAAACAGACCTAGCAGCCAAAGGATGAAGGGGAAACAAAAGGAAAAATTAACTTCTTCTGTATGAGTCAGACAGGGTCTAAGGTTTCTGTCTGTCCTATCACTGCTAGCTAGACCCCACCTCCGAATCATCAATGGTGTTGCCACTGAGTGATACCGTGAGGAGCGGTGAATTCCTCCCCTCTCCACCACAGGTTAAGGGAGAATAGCTTTGAAAATAGCTTTGCTTGTAGATACAGAGACAAGTAAATCTAGAAGGGATAAATGGAAACAGTAATTTGCACAGCACGCTATCAGGTGGAGCAATTAACTACTGCAGTAAGACAGAAGGCTACAGACAGTAGCTGGGTTTTTAAAAGGCCTGAATATTTTCCTAGTCATGAAGTCACTGGTTATAGACGTTAAAAGGAGGAACATTTTTTCCAGTGCCTGGGTACTTCTGCCATTTTCTGCATTTTACTTAAAGACAGTGACGAGGATCTGCAGTTGATCTACGCTTACATGGCCAGGATCTACATTTACATGGCCAGCCTTGCTCTGCTTGTGTACGCGCTCCAGAAGATGCACTTCTCTGTTTTGAAAGTCACCGCGTGGTCTGTGCGTGAGCTGTCCGAGTCAAACTGCTGCTCAGCTTTCAGTTCCAAGCCATTTTCTTTCTAAGTGAAGGCATGTTTGTTTTTTTTCCTGGCATTTCACATTCTTCATGTTTAGGCACCATCACTGCTTAAAGATGCCACAGGCCACTGACTTGTGTGTCTGGAGCCCATTTGTTTTCCAGGATTTTTATCGTTGCTTATAATTAAAACAGATTTTTAGCAGTGCAGCTGCAGCCTGATTGCAGTTATTTTAATGAATCTTGAATGAAAATATAATCCAGCTTCATCTCCTGCAGTTGTGTTGACAAAATTAGAACTGGAGGAATCAAAAAAAGTAGTAATGACTTCCCCCTTTCCTGCACCAAATTTAAAACCATTGTTTGGTAGGGTGGAGCAGAAAGTGGTCTCTGTGATGAAAAGGAGGACACTTCTGAGGACAGAGCTATGCTGTGAAGTTGTACAGCTCCCTTTTTATTGATGCTGCTGCTTTCATGATCCCTTTTCTTTCCCTTTTTAAAGTTTCTACTGGCAGCATCAAGTGACTCATTTGGGGGTATTCTGGAAGTAAATGGATGCATTTGAAAGAACTTACTTCTAATTTCAGAACAAACCCAAAATAATAAAAGCTTTTCTTAGTGAGAAGCGTGTGACAGTGCAGGTGTCAGGCGCTTAAATTTGGGCAGTTTCCTCGTGGTGACAGGGAGATGTCACCCAGAATGACTGCAAGCACTGATGAAGCAGGGCTGTGGCATGACTCGCTGCACATGAAAACGTTCTTGAATTTTTGTTAGTATTGGGGTGGTCAGGAAAAGCAGTGCTGAAAGTGAGATGCACTTGGCAAGCCCTCCAAGGTCTCTGATGGCATCTCCCTGTCTAGTGCTTTTTTTTTAAATTTTTTTGCTGTAAAACTTTGCTTGCTGTCAGACTGCGAAATGGCCAATGCTCTGCTGATCGGCAGTATTTTGCAAGCAGCCCCTGCATCGCCCTGAGGAAGGATGTTTGGTTTGCTTTGAGTTATCTGTGTTGCGACGAATCCTTTTCTATTGCTATTGAAAAGGCTCTTCAGAAACTATTCAGGAAAGTGGAGCTGAGGCTAATTATTTGTACAAAATCAAGCAACCCTATGATGCTGTGTTGAATCACCTTAAAAGACACCCCTTGTTTGGAATCTGTTGTGGATTGTGTCCCACATACAGTCTGTCAAAATGTGCGTTAGGTGCTAAGATGTGGGATCTGGGTCTGAGGACCAGCAATGCTTTGGAGAATAAATCCTTTCCATTTCCATGAGTATTTGGAACAGAGGCTGGCAAAATGTGCATTCATAATAATGGCTGTTCTCCACTTAATTTGAGCTATTCCAGCTCACTTCTGCCAATGTTAAATTAAACTTTAAGAATTAGGAAGGATAAGGAAAGAAATTAAATTATGATGAGATAGGTCTGCCAAGCTTTGTGCTAGGGCACGTAGAATTTATGGCAAGCCAAACTTGGTTTACCTGTCAAGAGAGGAGATTATAAAAGAATTTATTTAGAAGGAAGCTGAAACGCTTATTTTTATTTAATGTCTTAAGGATTGTTCTGCACATTATCAAAATAATTACTTCCCATGCTTACGTAAGTAACACATTATTTTCTTTGAAACTATTTTGCACCTTAAGTATTTTGTCCATTAAAATGATTCCATGTTTCAGTTTATTTCCTTTATAAAGGAGCACTTGTAAGCACCTATAGTGAATTCTTCTAAAGACTTACTATAAAATAGATATCCAAGTATAAAATAAGGCATAAACAAGCTAAGCTAGTGCACACACAAAAGAACTGATATGATAAGAGGAAGATCATTTTATTACCAAATGCCAGTCCTTGAAACAACTGCAGGACTTACAAAGGAGTCTGAGTATTGTTTGCTTCAGACTAGTCACTCCTCAGACCTGGTAGCCTGCGTGGTCATAGGAGCTGCTGCCATAAGGGCAAAGATTTGTGAGCTCTGGGTAAATGAAGAAACCACGTTCCTCTCTGCTCTGGCAAGTGGCCTTGCTCTGTGACAATCCAGGACACCTTTGGAAATTTACATCTGATGTGTTGATATTCTTATATGTAAAAACCTTTTGGGGGGGACAGAAAAAAATGTCGTCCAGGTGTGTATCATCGAACTGGGTTTCACATATATAGGAGTTAATACACGAGTTGTATGTGTGTGAGTGATACCAAATGCTGTGACTGTGGTAATCCCTTGTTAATAAGGGGATTGGCTTGCAGTACAAAATGACTTACATAATTCTGCGTGCTGCATTATCCCTTCCGCAGGTTTGGAAGCTTTATGTGTTTCCTAGCCCTCAGTACTTCCGTACTTCAATGCAGCACCTGCAGAACTTGTTCTATGAAATGGTGGCTGTGTTCCTCAGACACCTCAGCCCTAAATCCAGTGTTTTGCTCTTGACTGATATCTATTGCATGTGTACGCATGAACTCCAACCTCCTTCTTTCTGTCATGTTTGGAAATACCCAAGTATTGAGTGTGTTGCCTGTCTGACTGCTGTTTGTGACCTGAACCTGCTGGAGTCTAGGAAGAGATCTTCAGGTTTGTATTTCTGCTTGTGGAGAAGGTGCCGTGCCTCTCCTTGCAGTCAGAGAGGCCAAGGGGTTTCAGCCTGGCAGCCCCTGGGGAATGGTGATGCTGTGCAGCAGGGAGCAGAGCTGGCTGCAGTGGAAAATTTGGGTCGGAGGGAAGGGCGCAGAGAAAGAAGACAAAGGAGTTGTCTGTACAGGAGAGGTCTCAGTTCCTCAGGCAAGGCACACTCGTCACAAGCTCCTGGGGCTGCTTCAGGGGTTACAGGACAGCTTGTGCTACAGAGCTCTGCCGATCTGCCTAAGAGGCCAGTGGGGTTTCAGCACCTTTGTGGGTTCTCCCTGGCTTCTTTCCACTGCCTGTTTTGCTGGTGACCATCTGTCTTGCTGCTGGGTTCCGTGCAATGGCTTAGCAGTATGGAAGGCTAAAAACCTCAGCTGAAAGCTTTCCTTTTGTTTTCTCTTTTCCCTGAGCTGTGCTAGGTCTGAAGCAATCCACTTGCAAATACAAGAGAAAAACAATCCATCTTATTAGATGCCCTTCTTCCCTGTTGGGTGGAAAATGATTTTTCAGAAAATTTCCTATTGGATATATACTCAGTTTAAGTATTGCAGTTACAGGCTATATTGATAACATTTTATGTTTTACTTTTGGTTCATTTTTTTTAACAGTACGCAGAAATCAAACATGCTGCTTGTCCCACTAACTTCATCCAAGCATCCATCGTTCTTTCTCTTTACCTGTAGTGTTTCCCACAGGAGTAGCATGAACCCTTCCATGAACCTCCTGCTAATTGCTATGCTGGCGCTTCAAGGCAGGAGAGCAGCGAGCTTTTGTCCTTCAGAGGTAAGCCCGTGAACCCCGTGTCTAGACAAGCAGGGGAGAATGTGACTGTGGGGACATGCTGGCTGCACACTGCTGGGATTTATTACTCAGTTCTCCCCCTAGTGAGGGGACATTTGCCTTCATCTAATACCACCCCTTATATATTTGTGTTAGTTGGGAAATGTTTATTTCCTCTGCACTGTTCAGGATTTCTCAGTCATACAGAAATACTTAAGATTAAGACCTTAATATTTAATAAGCTCTCTATTGTTAAAGAGCGAGCAAGCCTGCCAATGTGAGATTGGGCTGGCAGCTCAGTGGATTAATGGAAACAGAGTTGGCTTTAAAAGCCCTGAATGATAATCTTTAAATATGCTTAGGCATTGTGGTTGTGCAGTTTCCCTGGGGAATCATCATATTCTCTGCTTCAGAAATTGTATTGAAGACATAACTGAAACTACAGCACAACGTTGCCTACTGGCAAATCTACTTTCATTCCTGGGGCTTAAATTCCTTGTGTGTGTCTGTATATGCTGAATGTCATTCCTTCAGGGTTTTCATTTCTTATTATATTGTTGCCACAGGAACAATTTTACCCAAACCTTAAAAAAAAAAAAAAAGAGTTGCAGAGCAACTTTCTTCCTTGAACAGAGATCTTGTTTAAGCTTTCAAATAAGCAAATGTAGCTATATGGAAATACTGAAATGGAAATTATGTTGAGGCTAGTGATGTGTGCTATCAGTAAGCTAGCCAGAGGAGATTTGAAAAAGACTGGCTCAGATGGCTGCCTGAATTTATTTTTTTTTAACTCCTGTCTGTGAAATTCCGTGGTGCTTCTGGTTCATGTAACCCATTTCAATACTAATTCATTCTCTGATAGAGATCTGAGTAGCCCCACTGCAGATGATAATGTAGACACAGTGTGGTGCATTCTGGGATGTCTTCAGATAAATTGAAAGACTTGAGAATATTTTCATTGTAGGAGATTGCTTTTTCTTATTTATGTAAGAACTTACCAGTCTGAAAGGTGTCTGGACTTAAAGTTGCTTTTCTTGTGTACACATTTCTGGGGATTATCTCAATTTCAATTTAATTTGCCACTTCACTTCATGCTATAAAGCTCTCAGAGAAACTTTAATTTTCAGTGAGAGGTCACTAGATTAAAATGAAATAAGCGTGCATCAATCAGAACTGTATTTGTTGTCCCGAATTTCTGTTTATGCTTAACAGGAGCTGCTTGTGTAAGGCACCAGAGCACCCAGCTGTTTGGTGCTAGATCTGATTGTGTAACTGCACACCCTTACGGTTTGTATGATTGCACCGATGTTAAGGAAACTTTCACTTGCAGGACACTGTGCTCCATATGAGTATGTGGACCAACGATATGTTGGCTCTGGTGTGCTGAGTTCTTTTAAATGTCATAGATCTCAGAAGTTTTTGGTAACGTTTAAATTGCGTATAAATTCACCCCCACTGCTCCCTGGATTGATCTGCCTGTGAGGCTGGAGGTACTGAAGGTTGGAGGGGCTAAGAGAAATCAGTGTTTGTATCCCTTGGAATTGTTTTCATCATCCTGTGTCCTGCATTAGTTCTGTGAATGTGCGGCATCTGGGGGGAGTAGCTGGGATTTCAGTCATAACCTTGGAAGAGGACAGGAAAGCTGCTAGAACAGAAGGAAAGCAGGATCAAAGGCACAAGGTAAACCAAATGGCACTGAACACTTACACGCAGACATTCAACCTTGTATACTGTAGCTGGGGTTGGTGACTGCCCCCCTTTTCTGAACAGCAGCATGCTGCAGACAGGGATCTGCACGTTTACACAAGACTCAACACCCCCAGTCTGCAAAATCACAGGGTTTTAGACATACTGCAGCCCTGATTCTGTTCTGGGAGCATGTTTTTGAAAGAACACTGTATGTTGTCCAAGGGCTCAGCATGTATTTCATGGGATGCTGCTCTATTGTACCTTACAGTGGGAGGGGAAAAAAACGCTCTGCTCAGCTGGATAAACTGGAGTACCATGTCACCCATTTAAAAAAATAAATAAGCTTTGCTTGCATTGGAATAATCTGATTCTGAGAAAATGATAAATACGTTTATATTGAATGTACATTAACTCTTGATTCCATCAGAAACTAGAGTGTGATTTGCAGTAAGCTTTTAATTATGCCCATTTTTCATGTGATGATAATTCTTTTAAACCTATGAGCATGTATTTCAAAGAGCACTTTGATAATGAAGAATGGACTGTGTCACAGTAACCAGCTGTGGTGCACAGTTAGGAATAAAAAGGTGTTTAATAGGGAAGAACTTGAATGCATGGACTTCACAGGAAGGAGATTTAAAACTTCAATTTTTATTAGCACCAAATATCAAGCAAGTTTCATGACAACAAGCTGTACTTCCAAGCTGGTAAGTTGTTTAGGGAAAGTGAGTGGGTAATTATATGACACATTAATTCAATTTATGTACTCTTGTGTTTGCATTTGTTAATCCACGATGCCTTCAGTTGTGCACAGGTCTGAGTTCACAGTTTCTGTAGGAAATGTTAGGAGTATTTCAACTATGAGGTTTAGGGACATCTCTGTTCTTGAAAGACCAAGACACAGCTGCTCACCAGGAGAACAATCAAAGCACCTCTGACTTCTGGGGCAAAATATTCCTATTTCTAACATACCTGTCACGTTCCTGCAGCTGAGCTTGTAGCATGAAGAATTTTTCCAATGGCCCTTCTGCACTTGCAGCCCGGTGCAGTCTCCCTACTCAGCTAATGCCAGCGTGACCTTCAAGTTAAGCCACTGCAGTTACAAAGACTGAGGCCGTTGGTGGGGAGGGAGGAGTGCTGAGGATTGTAAAGAAACTTTCTGTGACTTCGGCTGTCACAAGCAATCTGGTGTGGGCAAGTGAGTGAGAGCAGAGTTTCCAAGAAAGCACTAGCAGGAGACAGTGCTGAAGTGCTCTTTTCCGGTAGTATTTGCAAATGCTTCATCTTAATTGAGCCTGTAAATATCATTAATTCCCTTGAGAGGAGGGGAGGGCTCGGTTCCTTCAGAAATGAAAGCAAACTAAAAATTGTCCAGTAGGATTTTGGTGTGGTTTTTGTTGTTTTTGGTTTTGTTTCTGTTTCTAGTTTAAGTTGTCTTGGACAGTTAGCTTGCACAAGTAGAAATGCAGGGATGCCTGCACTGGTCATCACCTCAGGACTGTGTGGATGTACGTGAGCTTTTCAGAAGAACAGCAATGGAAAGTTTTGAGGCTGAGTTCAGCATCCTGCGTGCTTAATATTCAAGCTCAGAAACAGTATCAGAAATAGCTAATGGATTAATTCAACTGATTTTTGCAAGGTAAATTGTGTTAGAAGAAGGGGGGGGAGGGAGGGACGAAAAAACAATTCCCTGCAGCATTAGTCTCTCTGGAGAATGCCAAGCAGCTAGTGGTGGTTCTGCTTGGTCAGATGTGTAGGAGTGTGTAGGCTTGCATGAGGGGAACTGGATGCTGAGAGAGTGGTGCAGATGCAGTTGCTAGTTAGGTTCCTAACTAGGCTGTGACGTGAATTACCTGGTCACAGTAGTTGCTTTTCTCTCCTATGCAGGGACTGGTCTCCTAGCACAGTGCCAAACCTAAAGTTCCCAACGCCACGTAAGATGCCAGTCTTACATAGGATGCAGAGTTATGTAAATAATTTCGTCCTCACTGCATTTGGCAGAGCGGGTCCCTGATTAACAGGGCAGCCCTGTGTGCAGAACAGCAGGTTTAAATGGTACCGTACAGCTGGAAGCTCTGGAGGACCTATGGGCTTCAGCTGTACAGCCAAGGGAAGGCATTTGTGCAGCAGGGAGGTGAGGTGCATCTGAATAGACTTGCACAAACTGGTTCCTGAAATCCTTTTATTTCTCTAGTAATTTGCAATATCTTCAGGACAAATGCTTCACACCTAAAACTTTTGTCACTGTCAGTATGGAAAAATAAATACATAAGCAATACACATTAACAGTTGCTTTTTATGCTGTACTTTGTACAAAAGTTAGTTTTTTTATAGATATATACAGTTACATTTTCTTATGCTGGCTATGATTTGAACCATGTCCTGTAATAGTCCCTTGGAAATGTCATGGGAGGTTTATACTGGATAAAGGATCCCATCCTTTCAAATTATTCCTTTAACCACCAGTACTGGGAAGTCTCTGTTAAAGTCCTCTGTCATAACAAAGTGTTCTGCCTAAACCATTTCTGCAGAAGTCATTTTAACAGGTCAGCCATTTCATCACTAAAGAAACATGTTGTGAGGTGACTTCTAAGCACCCTGCATAGCTCTCTAGCTTGCACTGCCATAGCAAATGCTTTCTGGCTGTTCGAGGGAATGTAAGGTAAGGTGTACTTCCAGGTCAACAAAAAAATCACAAGTTCTAGTGAACAGAATAACATACAGTATTTCTATGGGGAAATAGTTTTAATAAAACTATATTTAATAAAACTGTATAAAAGAATCAAGGCCTAGGGGAAAATGACCTATGTATCCAACTGTTTGGGTTTCAGAAAAACAGCCTTTCAAATTGCAATCACTGGGTAAATTGCTAATGATAGATTATTTTTTGCTTTTTTTTTTTTTTTTCAACATACCAGAAAGTAAGGGTCATGTTTTTATGCCTCTTTGAAAATGTTTTTTGAATGTTCTTGTTTTTATGTGCTACTGTTAGTGGGGTTTCCTTTGTAGCTGCAGTGCTGTGCCACCACAAAATACTTTATAGTACACAGCAAGTATAATCAGCTAAGCCTGACATTCCTAGGTTGTGCTAAGTACATTTCAGAAAAAAATAGCAGGATGTCAGCTGAAATGCTGGGTTAGTTGTTGATTAAAATAGAAACACCTCTGTCTGTGCCAACATGTAGTTCAAAATGCAAAGACAACTGAGCTAGGCTGGCTGCTGGGGAAGGTAAACTAGACTTCCAATTTTGAAACAATGGGATCCTGAAAACCAATAGCGTTTCCCAGGTTAAAGCTTTAGTGGGAAAATAAATTAGGCTGTAAAGGTAAATAGAGCTGCTCTCTGACCATAAACTTCCGTAACATTTGTTAACTTAGCATTTTAGAAATTTAGAGCCAATGGTGAATAAATGAAACTGAAAGGCAAAATGTTTGAAATACATTTAAGAAGGGGTGGTTTCTTTAATGTATATGGCATGATGAAGTTGTGAAATTCACTGCTACAATGTAAGACTGAAGTAGAAAATCTTCACAGAATTCAGAAAAAGGATTAAGGATAGATATGGTTAATGAGACCATCTAGTGGCACATTTAACAGGATGAAGAAAATCCAAGGAATACAAGCCTGCCAGTGACCTAAGGGAGTTGGAAGAAACTTCACCAAAGGATTGGATTATCCTTTGTGAGATTTCCTGCAACAGCCTCTAAACCTGGTTCTCTGCTTTCAGGCCATGGTTGACCCCTAACACTTCCAGTTGTCTGTCTGTGTTGTTCAGAAGGCACCAAATTTAGAGGCAGTTTCACTCGTGAAGCTGTTTGACCTGGAGGGTGCAATAAATTGTATTGAACAGGGCAGTGTTAGACAAGGCTTCAGACAAGGTACTTGGCTAACCAGACTGGTTTTGATCTGATGTAGTAGGAGTTCCTAATGTGGTGTTCTAGTGTTAATTTTCTGAGTTTTCCTACACACTTTGTGAATATGAGCAACTACCTCAGAAAAAGAGAAGTCAGATTCTTTCAAAATTGCCAATAACACATTCTGAACATAACAGTTGGTTTTGGGTGTACAGTTTTTCGTTATGTTACTAAACATGATCCCCCCCCCCCAGCATTTTCTGAAATGTTTCCTGTATTGACTGTACATAATTTCAGGTTGCTTGTAATAGGAAACAGACAGGGGTATAAATTTACCTGGAAATGGGTAAGCTGGTCAAGTTTAAAAACAAAACAAAAAAAAAAATAAAGAACCAATAAGAAAGGACAGATCAAATCAAAGATAGGCAATGAGAAATGACAAAAAGTATGCTATGTATTTTCTTATTGCATATAGTGTGGGTGTGTGTGCATGCTTGCACACCCATCTTTGGGTATGTATATACTCGCTGTATAGCTTGTTGTGTAGTTCATTATAAAGAATACAAAAGACATTCTGTTGTAAACTTTAAAGAATATTTAATAATTTTTTAAAAATAAAATGTATATTTTAAATTTTGTTCTTTATATGAATGCACAAAAATGTATCATCATAGTTGCAGTGACAAAATCCAAGGAACTGAGGAGACCTGCCCACTGCGGTAAGACACAGGTGACGCTCTAAGAGAATTCATAATGGAATCCAAACAAAATTTCCCAGGGCGAGTCCTGACTTGTTTTCTTACAGTGAATTGCCTAACTCAGTGTCTACGAAGATCATTCACACTTAGCATGAATTCTTGTGGACAAAGGTAATAAAGCATCTGGTTTTAAAACAAATGCCGCAATCGGCTTTCTTTTCCCTGCTTACCTTTGGTGCCACACGTACAGCACAGCAACGAGGCCAAGCGTGAAGTGCAGGGCATTAACTTTGTCCGTGCTGACAACCTCCTGTCCTGTCTGTGGATAGGAGGAAGCAGCCTGGAGCCACATGCATCGAAAAATAGAACCAATTTTTAATTAGCTTGTGAGAAGTGAGGGGGGTGGGTGGATTCACGTAGTGGCCCTATTACTGATGCTAGGTAATGTGTTTTTACAACTTCGGTGCATTTCCTTCCTCTCCGTATTATAGATCATACAATGCTGCATTCAAATGGTAGCTATTAAATGGAAGAATAAACCTTTACAAGTTCATATTACTTGAGGAGGAGGAGGAGTGAAGAAATGTTCACAGAACAGAAACTGGAGTGAATTTCAGTGATTGTGCACTATAATACATAGAGCTAAATAATTCTATGGTACAAGCAGTAAGATTTGGCTGCTGCTGACAATTACCGTACAGGAAAATAAAACACATTCTATTAAATATATATATTCTTATAATTGTGAAGATGAAAAGCCAGAAGTATATTGGACTGAATCTAAAAGCTAAATCCAGATCTTGCTGAATTCAGTAGGTCCAGCTGTGTGCCCTATGCTTTCACATCTTGTTATTAAGCAGAAAGAGCAATGGGTATAAATTGGGAGTTCTCTGCTTCACTCTGTTTGTTACCTTTGGTTCTGTCTTTAAATGTGTTGAGTCTTCCTTCACATTTAAAAATAAGTGGAAGTAATCTAAAAGGCCTTACTAAAAGTGACAAAAACACTAATGGAAGCAACTGGAATGACTTCTGTGGTGCTCTGCATAAATAGAGTATGAGCACCATTTTAAATGTACTGTGGGGTGGTTATAATCAACCAGTTCAATGTCAAGTTTTATGCGTAAAATGGAACTATTTCTTGTTGTTGCTTAGAAAAAAATGTTGCTGTTAAACATCACAAAACAGTCTGACCTCAGGGGAGAAAGATGCAATGCTTTTAGAAAGAAAATATGTTAAAGCTGATTCTTGTTATATTCAATACGTTCAGAGGTTTGAAACTGGATTGTGCTGGTAATGCTTTAAGCACCGTAACATCTGTTTGGCTTGTGTAAAGAGAGTTACTAACATCAAATATAGAAAACGGTCCAGTGCAAACTATCAGTAAGTTGCACTAGCATCTCTGTTGGCAGTGTGTTTTTTCTCTTCAGTAGTTGATGCTGAATGGTGCTGTTGCAGTGACTGGGATTTACAAAGTGAGCGTTGCTCATACTGCCTCTAGATTGTATTTTTGAAAACTGAGGCTGTTTATCTTTTAAGGATGCCCAAACTGTGGCAAATGATTAGAGAGAACCAGAATGTGTGATGTCTCATCTGTATTGGTTTATTTTATTATTATTATTCTGTAGGTGTAGCTGAAGTCTGGCAGCCTGCTCTAAGGGTTCAGCGTGTGTTACTGGGATACTCACAGATGAGGGTTGTACTCTGTCTTCTCCCTTCACCACCACCGGGCAAACTGATGAGAGTTGCCCCACGTGGGAACTCTGCTGCACAGTGGTTTGCTCTCGTCACTAAAGCCATCAGGTGTGCTGTTAGTTTTTAACAGCAGGGATCACTATGAATAGACTTGTCTACCTTTTGTCTTTCTTAAAAGTCAATGTTTTACAGTTGTGTTCATCGTTCTGGTACACAGCTTTTCA